CCGGAAAGGGTGAAGGCCAAGAATCTGGCAGTCTTAGGGGGCAGCCTCGAGACAGACCAGCGAAGGGGAGGAGAGGTGCAGCGGGTTGTGTTGGCTCCTAAGCCCAGGGCAGAGGACCAGGTGTCCACTGTGAGAGGATTAAGGAGGATTCCCCTACAGATTGTGTTTCCTGCCAACAAGCAAATGCTGGGAAGAAGAGTAACTTTAAAGGGAAGAACAGAAGAGTGTATCCTATTAAGTGCCCTAATGTTAATCCAGGAGGCCATTTTGATTCCATCAAGAAAGAAGTAGAAAGGAACGCTGGCCACATCTTTGCTCTCTGCAGTAAAAGCTGTTTAATGAGCGCTCTGGTGCTAGGGTCTGTCCACTGTAGGCAGATGGCACTCTGGCAATTGAGAGCTCAGAACTGAATGCTATAAATGTCCTCCCATGGATTAAGAGGTTTATATCACTCTTCTTTGAAGGAAAATTTGCCTTTTTTCTTTTTGTAAAAAAAGGTATCAGTCAATATGATGGCCGATGATGAATACCTACTAATCTGTCATGCTTAGGGCCTGCAAAGTTGAATTCTTCTATATTACTAGGACATGCACACACATACTATATGGTTAAGTAAAATTAAAGATCTGGATCAAATTTGAATCTTCAGTACCAACAAGAAGTTATTAGGTGTTTGCATATCTTGTGCATCCTTTGCTTATCAGTTCTTTAGAAATGAAAATAGTACAAGGAAGTTAAAAAAAAAAAAAGACACTGTCAAAAATGCTTATGACATTTCTCAGAAAAAAAATAATACTGTAAGACATTTCCTCTAAGACTACTACTTTTGCAGGCACCGTCACCAAGTACAGAGAACACAATGGTTAATGAAATTATCCACTGGCAAAACAAAATCAAAACCAAAATCTGTGTCAACATTTCTCTCCATCTAGGTTAGTAAAGTGTTATTAGTCATCTGTGAGCCCCAGGCTTTGAGTTTGAACAAAATCTGAGAAAAAATATGAGGAGGCAATGCAAACATGGCTTTCTAAAAGAAAACAAAAAGAAAGAGCAAAACCTATGGATGATTTCATGGACTGCACAAACTTGAAAGTAAATATGGTATTGATTCATGCTGTGTGTGTTTGGTCCAAAGCCCTAACTCACTGCCTTTTAGAGCAAGATTTATATTTGGATACACTAGTGCTCACAGGGACTTCAGAAGCTCTGAATGTAAAATTGCTCCTGAGATGGGAATTGCTTACTCTGGACATAAGCTGTAGTCATGATGCACTTTGGGCTGTGGGGTGTTCGCTCCGGGGCTGCAGGATTGCTGGGGCTCGGGCTATGTGGGAGGTGCTGAGGCTATAGGGGCAGCTGAAGCACGAGGCTGGGACGGGGAGGGTGGGTGGCCGGTTATACTGGTACTTGGCAGAGTGGGGTCCCCCATTGGGACTCGAGAGCGGTTTCTTTCCGTACCTTTCTTTGTCATCTTTACTAACAGATGAGTCCCGTTTATCTACATCTCTATCTCTGTCATGAGCTGCAGCGGACGCGCTGCGCTCCAGCTCCCCTGGCTTCAGCCAGGGCGGAGGGGTCGGGAACGACGGAGGCGTTCGGTGCAGCCGGTTCCAGGGTTCGTGAGGGTTGCTAAAGTTCTGCACACTGGGGCCATCCTTGTGGCCGAACATTGAGTTGGGTGCTGAAATGGTGAAGTGGAGAACAAAAAGGTTTAAGAGAAATTATATAATCTGCTGTAATGAAGGTACTTACCAAAAAACTTTTAACAGCATTCAGAGTTAAAATGAATACATATTATTGGGAGCTGGAAAAGGAAAGGAGATTAACAAATTCATTAGAGGAACTTTTGTCCTACACTGGAGAGGTAGCTCACAGCTTTTTTTTTTTTTTTTTTTCTTTCTTTCTTTTGTTAAACCGAAAGCAAAAATGGGAGTAAGGGAGGGGATTTAAAAGGAAAGGGACCAAAAAGGTATAATGATTACCTAATCAGACATATCTGGTGCATGCAGAAGTTCCCAGCATGCAGAGGGTGTATTACGATAGTGTGACCCTGATTAATAATTCTCCATTCAGAGCAGAGGTCATTGTTTCCTCTCCCCACCACAACCCTGCTAACGTGATTCTTTCCAGAACTTTTGCAGACTTGAACAGGTGTCATCAGAGACCAGACAGGGCCTTGACCTGAACAGATGCATAAAGTCTCCAGGCTACATTTTAAATAAAGACCAAAATGTGTTGGTATGCTCAAAGCTACTGTCTGGTCTCTTATATCCGGAAAATATGAAATGTGGTGGGAAAGAAAGCAAGCTGAGTAGTCAGTGACTAGACAATGTTTAGAATATGAGCAGGGCTGTGTCTCTTTTCCTATTCCAGATGGGCTTTTTAGTAGAGAAGACTACATAACCTTCCCAGGTCATGGAGTAGAAAATATTGCCAACTCTTGATTATCCTGAGCCTACCACTATTTCCAGCTCATCTTCAGTGTGCTTTTTTCAATCCCACTAACGCCAAAGGCGAGATGAAACTTAAAAATTGTTTTTGCTTTGAATGTGCGCTATAGCCAAAGTCTCGGATAATAGAAATGGGATGTGGGTAAAACTACAAACTTAAGTAAACTTTTGTGACACGCAAGTACATTAATATTCCTGACCTTCTGTAACATAGCAACAGTGGGCTGTCTTTAAAAAAGTGGATTTGCACACTTATACCCAATTTCACTGTGTAGGCTAGCTTTTGCATGATACAACCTACATTTGTTTCCCAAAGGCATAGTTTTCTTTTCTCTAGAAAAGTCTTGAGAGGTATATAGATCAGTGGAGACCAGTGGTTCCAAGGGAGGTTTTACAAAGTTAGAGGTACTCACTAACTGAAGGATTTCCAAGTCCTCCGAAGGCATTGCCACCGACTGCTGCTAGGCCTGTGAATGTGGATGGCCGGTTAAAAGGCTCTGCAAAATAGACAGGATGCAGTGAGTGAGGAACACGGAGATCCTGGGAGCCAGGGAAAGTGATAGTGGATCCTCGCCCTCACTACCCAGACCTGGTCCATCCCACTTTTCCCACTAGATTGTCTAAAAGGTTTCACTGCACTTGACTGTAGGCATGGGGCTTGCAAAAGCGCTCTGAGGGCTTCTTTTCAGAGCTCTGCCTTCTGCATCACTGCTCTTTTTCCTAGTGAGGAGCAAGTACCACTGAGGTCACCATGCTCTAGACTGCCTTCCTGCCCAGTCTCCCCCTTTTAGGAATGGGCTCTGCAGGTTCTAACAGAATAGGAATGAGACCACACCTTAAAATAAATCTCCAAGTGATGACATCATGCAGGCACATCTATCAGTTACCCTGCTGTTCTGCTACCACTGTCAGCACCTGTTTGTCTACTCAAACAAATACAGGCCACAAAAAGCATGCACATAGGAAGACAAATAGGGCAGTGACATGTGAAGGAACAATCAACAAAAAAGGGTCATGTTTATTCACATCGTTTTGTCCTTTCTTCCACCCCTTGGATGTGACCTTTAGCAATGGGGTAGGAGTTCACTGTCTTTCTCCAATAGGCAGGAACAGGCTATGGGGAACTCTGATTCCATTTAGTACCCAGAACGGCCTTGCCCCACTGTGCCATCAGTAACTTCAGACAGAACCACTACTGATTCGGACCTAATGCCAAAAGAACGTGGTGTAAAAAGCACTAGAATCCTGGAGATGAGTGACATGCGCTGACACTTCTAAGAGAACACCATCATCTCCAGGTAGTAAGCGAGGACTGTCACTACCTCGCCAGCATAGAAGTGATAAGCAGGGCAAAGGTTTGTCTGAAATAGCGTGTCAGCTCCCATCACTGATGGGTAACTCACCTAGGTGAGCGGCAGGGTTCAGAAAGTTGCTGTGATGAGGTGGTGGCCCAAAAGGGGTCCCAGTTGGGTGTGCAGCACCTATTAAATCAAATGTAACACAATCCAGTTTTACAAAAAGCCAACTTCCAAAATGTAACTGGGCTCTTAATTGCTTAAGGGCTCATAAGAACATAGGTTAAAGTAATGGCTAAACTCCACCTAGGCCCCAGGCAGACAACACACGAATGAAAAGCAGATGTTCTTATTTTGAAGCAAAAACTAAATCACCCCCTTTCCTTTCTCCCAGCTTGGCTGGTCACCATCAAGAAGAGGTATTTCATTTTTAAGTCAATGGCATGCTCAGTTTTAGACACGTGGTGGTGGTAGGGTAGAGTAGAAGGGTTTCTGTAACCAAGTAAGTTTGGAGAAATATTGAGTTTAAAATGTTAAGGAAGGCTCTTTTTGGAAGGAGTTCTTGGAGCCATTAATATGCTCATAGGCTCTCTCATTCTCTAAGGAGAGAACATTTGAACACTTGGTCATGAAACAGAATTTCTTTTTTTTTTTTTTTTTTGAGAGATTTTCACTGTAGGGCGCGTGCACTTGCCAGACAGACAGAGAGAGACATAGAGACAGAAAGCGAGAAATCACCCCCCGGGGGGATGGTCACGCCGCAATCCCTTCTCCTCCGTTCTCCTCTCGGGATCTTGGGCATGCACGCACACGCGCCCGGTGTGAGTTTTAAGCCACCGGGTCCGGGACACGAACCACGGTCGACTACGTGGGAGTCCAGCGACATAGCCATTACGCTAACTGCTGGTTCCTGGAACAGAACTTTCTTTACAGAGCATTTTGGTGATACATTTTTCACTTTGAGAAATACAGCTCCAGCAATACTGCACCATAACACCCTTGGCTCCGGAGTGGCTGTCCTGACACTACAGATCGGGGCAGTACTGTTCTGGCCCTGGCGGAATCCCTTTTCCCAAAGAATGTATTCTTGAGGATCCACAATGAAGGATACTGTAAGCTCAACAAGGAAACTCACTGCTGCAAGACATGTTAGGTTACAGAAGATGAAGTCTTCCCCAGTCACTCAACATTCAGGACAAGCTAGTTTATACATATGATTTTGAACACCAAAAATCTTATAACTGATTGTTAAATCTTTCTTTGGTCTGCCAGGGAACTCAGATTTAATCTAGTAGTCTTTGGTTTTCTTTATCCAAATTTCTTCTTCTACTTTGTATTTTTCATAATATAAATTTCTTTAAGATGCCCCAAATCCTTTTCATGAAGGAAGTTGGGAAAAGGAAAGGGAAAG